AACCAGAGTCCAGTCCATAACCCCTATCCAGGGCCCACACCTGATTTTGCATTTATTTGACCCTTAAAGAATGTAACTATAAATTTTCCCATCCAACTCTAAAGAATCTTGCATTCTAGGAGTGCCTGGCTGTCTCAGTCAATGGAGCATACAACTCTTGATCTCAGGGTTGTAAGTTCGAGCCCCACGTTGGGTGTAGAGACTACTTAAAAAATAAAATCTTAAAAAAAAAAAAAAAAAGGAAAGAAAGAAAGAATCCTGCATTCTTTTCATATGCTTTTTATGCCTTGGGACTGCACAATCCTCATGGATATTAAACTTTCATCTAATTGCATTCCGGTTGTCTCTCAGAGCTTTGTCTGATTATTCAGCCATGACTCCCAAAGTCATTCTCCAAGAGCATCATTCAGCCCAGCTCCTTACCCTACCTCACACCCTGAGCTCCCTGAGTTTGTAATTCCCCTGGGAATGGAAAAGCGGACTCCCCCAGGATCTACTTTCCTGGCAAGGCTAACGAAAATGTTCTTAAGCTTAGTAACTTTGCCCAGTGGTTGTTTGGGGGGTTTACCATGGCCTATAGCCTCCTGCTTCCCACCCCTCCTGAGGCAGCCACTGCAGTAGTCAAGGTCTGTTGGAAGAACGGCTCCACAGAAGAGACACTGGAGCCAAATCCCTAATCTCCCAGAAGGATGAGGGGACATAACCCAAGTCATCACCTAATGCTTGAGCCGAGCTAGAACCCAGGACTCCCGACTCCCAGCCTCATGCTCTGGCCATGGAAACCTAATGCCCCCCAACAATAACAAGACCGGCAGAGCCAGCAAGGGCCTCACAGATCACAGCCCCCAACCAATCAGCCCAAACATTAAAATACGCTACACACTGCCTTCCAGGTTGCTTGATAAACAGAATAGAAATAGGCATGGTCCTGCCCTTTCTAAAGTAAATAAACATACCATGTATTTGTCTTTCCATGCTAAAGAGAAGCGATAATGAGAAATGACTTTCAGCTATAATGGGCATGGGGGGTGAGGGCTGGGCCTCAGAGAGCGGAAGCTGGAGGAGAGAAAACAGAGCCTGAGGGCAGCCTCCAGGGGTCCTGGCATTGGCTCAAGCTCTTACAAAGAAGCCCTGTATAGGACGGGCCCTCCACAACCAGCGGGAAGAAAATACTCAGGTCCCTCGGTCATTAGCACTTTGGAGAACCACCGGTGGAGCACGAAAGGGACGGCTAAGCTGGAACATGAAGCTTCCTGCTGACTTGAGCCCCAGGGCCATCTCTCAGGGGCTCCCCGTCCGGCCCCCATTTGGCTCCTACACCTGCTGGGGCCCCTGCTGGCACTTTCCTACCTGCCACTGTCTGCTCATCAGCCTGGTATGCAGGATCCCCAACATCTCCCCCTCCAGCTGGCTCAAAGAGAAACCCACGATGCCTCTTTGGACCTTGAGGATATCATCACAAATGGACACCAAGAAAGTGACAGCTATACATGAAACTAACAAAGATGAGAACCAAAATATTGTCAGAATTTTTTTTAACAGTTCTCCTGGTGTCATCCTTGGCCTTCGCTGGATCCTAAATGGGGCAGCATCCTTGACCTCTTGGCCCTTCCTTCTCTGTCACCTGCTCACCCGAAGCCCTCCATGCACCCCTGTGACCAGGCACTGTTTGCTGTTATTGGGAGGGGCACAAAAAAGGCTCAGGCTGGGTCTCTGCCCATTTTATGGCCCAGAAGGAAGACAGACAAACACGAGCCACAGAGGCAGTGGGAGAGGTGCCGTGGCCAGCGCGCCAAGGGAGCCTCAGTTGAAAGTCTCCTTGGACATGCTCCTCAATGCCTTCTCCTCAACACTATCGTCCAGCAGCTTCCAGGCCTGCTCTCTCTCCAACTGGACCACCTCCTCTCTGTCCTGCACCTCCCATGACCCTGGCAGCCCTGTCCCAAGAGCTCCTGCCACTCCTCCAGGCCCCCCCAGATCCAAGCAGGACCCCCACCCCCAGCCCCGGAGAACATCTCAAAGGCTGTCTGCTTGGTCAGCACCTGACAAAGGATTGTTCAATAAAAAGAAACATTTCCAACTAGATTAAAAATAATCCCAGCAGAGGTCTCAAGTATGAAATCTTCCTTCCAAAACATAAACCCTACAAATATTGGCATTTGCTCCTTGCGCAAGTGGGGAGCCACACAACCCATCAAGTCCTCTCTCTCAGTTATAGAATTCATTTATCTGGAAACCAAACGCCTCACTTTGGGTTTCCCGTTTGCCACACCGGATTCAATCCACCATTCAGTGCTTGCCCAGAACCTGCTTTATTGTTTTCAGCAATAGCTTCGTCATTCGCTGTACGGGCAGCGCTCAGCACAAGGGTCCTTGAGTTCTGCTTTGCCTTTCCATTGCTACTCAGGATCCCCTTTAGAAGCTCTAAGTGTCAACAGGCATGATCGTTATTTGAGTCACCTGATACAAGAAGAAAGGCTGCCAAATGGGACACATTATTGCCAGGTTCTGTGCCCTGAAGGAGGGGCTCGGGGCAGTCCAAGCAGATGGTCTGTGAGCCCTGACAGCCAGAAGCTTTCACGAGGGCAAAGACATCTTGAGTGAGCTGAATCCTCAGCACGGAACAAGGACGTGCCAGCCACCCTCTCTGCTCAAAGAATGAGCAGAGAAAATAAAAGAATGAGTTAGCACTTCGCTGGACCTGACGTGGGCTTGAACTTATCCGAGAATGAAAGCTGTGGGCAGCTACCCAGGATATGACCATAATCCCACGCAGAAAGCTGCAAGGGAGGGGTAACATGGCAATGGGCCCACAGCTCTCCTTATTGGAAGGGTCCTGTCCCACCTTGCACGTGCCCACTCGCCAAGCTGCTTCCAGTCCAAAGCAGGCAGCAGTGGGGCCTGTCATTCAAAATACCTCTAACCCCATCAGAGTCCCCCAGAGCTGTGCCACCAGATGGGGCCAGATGGGGCTCCCCTCTGTGGTTCCCTCTCCTTCCCCTGGAAGGAGACGTCCTCAGTCAAGTTGCCCAATGCCCCCAGAGGATGAGGCTAGAGGGTCAGTAAAGAGAAAGTCAGAGGAAACACAGAGGCTATGAAGGATTCAGGACCAACTCAAATGTCCCCCAATGAAATGAGCCCTAATCATCCAGGCCCCAAGCCAAGCCAGCTGCCTTTCTATGGGTTTGCCACTGTTCCATCATCCCTTGTCTTTCTCTCTTCCACACCTAACCTGGCCCCCACTGTCACTCCTTCCTCTGCCTCCCTCAAAGCCCCTTCCCTGGCAAACTTCCGGGTTGCTGCAACCTCCTCAGGCCTCTCAGAGCCTCCACAGCCTACTGTTCAGAGGCCTCGGTGCCTAGTTTTACTGAAAGCCACCCTGACATGCCAGCCAGAACCAAGACACATTCCTTTAGAAAAGCCCCCACCCTCTGGTTTCTCATTTTCCAGTTGAGGAACACCCCCAGTTCTCAGCTACTTGCCAGAGATGACTAACACAATGTGTCCAATGAAGAGCCAAGCTTTCCTGGCTCAGGTCATCACTTCCCCTCAGGGGCTCAGGAAGGAGCTGGCTCTGTCCTGTGGGCTCCCGGCATCCCCCAGACCAAATGGGGAAACCTGCCCCCCACCAAGGCTACCTGATCAGGACTCGGGGGAAAAAAACAGAGTCCTGCATACAAAGCCTCTCAGCCAAGGCCATCGGAGTGCGTGGCCCCTGCCATCTCGTGTATCATCTGCTCTGCACTGGTCTGTGTTCTAGGTTTTTGCATTTAACCTTGACTTTGCTCCTGGCAGTTTCTCTGAAATTCCACCTGGACTTAGCCAATGTAAAGGAAAAGGGATTTTGTCTTCACATAGGCCCAGGGAGCCAGTCAAAGGCCAGATGAAGTTAGAGGCCATCGTGTTGCCAGAGACCAAAGGGGCCGACGGGAATGAAATGCTCACACCTGAATGACAATCTGGGACATCTAGAAGGGCGCAGCTCTTCCCTATGAACACAACAAACAGCCTCACAGTGGTCTGTCCCCTCTCTGCTGACCAGCTTCAGGGCACTAGCTGTTGGCCTGAACGCCAGGGAAGAAACTGGGAAATGGGTAAGAAGCAGGGCCAGCTAAAGTGGGGCTGAGGGATCCCAGCTCTGGATGCTCAGAGCCACCCAGGGCTGTGCAACTCCGCGGAACCTCTCTGTAACCACCCTCCACCCCGTGTCTCCCAAGGAGGTACGGAAGTTGCTTGAACGGGGTCTCTGACCAAGAGATCCAGTGGATCCACCAGATGGCAGTGCTACTCCTGCCCGGAGGGGACAGAGCCTGCAGTGTGCGAGAGTGGCCACCAGAGGGCAACACAGGGACAACCGGCTTCACTTCGGCACTGGTTGCCTAGCAACTGTGACGCAGTGGGCTCCCAGTTTGCACCCTCTTCAAGGCCTCCCAGGTTATTTCTGGCAGAACAGACTGTTGCACAGGGAGTGGCCTCAGGAATCCCCAAACTGCCACACTTAAACCGTGAAAATCTAAAATGGTCCAGGGACCCCAAATCCAGCGCCACCCCTGTGTCTTGGGGACTGAGAGGCTGTACCCTGCTCCTCAGAATGCCAGGGATCAAGAAAATATTTTCCATTTCCTTCTATAGCCCCACAGCCACTGGGGACACTCTGATTTCTCTAACGGCTAAAGCAAAGCCACCTCCTCCCTCGCCCCTCCCCCACAATCTCCCTTCCAAGCAGAGGCTAGATTAGCAGTATGTGACCTTGAGCCAGACCTTGAGCCTCCTGCTCCCCAGCTGTACTTGCGAGGGCTCCAGGGGGTGATGATAACGTCCAGCTCTGACCTTCTGTGGTCTTGATTCTCTCCCTTTCCCCCAAGAATTCTGTCCTTGTCTCAAACCTCTCCCTGGTTTTGATGGCCCTGAAAACAGAATTCTTCCAATTCCAGTTGGATAAGCATGACCGGACAGACCAGGGGTGGAACCAAGAAAGTGAGGCAGACACAAGACAAGGAGTGTGGTTATAATGAGCTCAAAGCCTGTGCCGGTCTGGTCTGTGAAAGGGCCTGGGTGAGCCCAGGTCAGTGCCCGGGGCAGTCAGCGGGCCGCTCTGGCCATGGCGTGAGTGGCTGGCTCCAGGCACGTCTCTGGGTTGGGAGGCACCCGCTGGCCCCAGGGCTGGGCTCTGCCTGGGGCCCAGGTGTGGATCACTAAGGTGTCGGGGTCTCTGAGGGGCACCACGGTGGAGGGTCAGACAGGCATGTGCAGCTCGTTGTACTCATCCTGGCCATCCTCATCAAAGTTAGGCTCAGCATCTTCCGAGTCCAGCTGCAGAAAGGAGAAGGTCGGGAGGGGCGGGGAGGCGGCGCTCGCCCAACGGTTCCCCCCAGCAACTCCTCTGGCCCCGCAGTCTGCAGGGACCATCAGGGACCGCAGCCCGAAGCCCTTCTCTCCAGCCAAACTAGCAGGAGGCACAGCAGAGACTGGAACCCAGGCCTCCCTGATTCCAGGGCCCCTCCGGCCGAACACGGCCCCGAGCAGCATCCCTTACCGCCTGCAGCTCCCTGTCCTGGAAGAGCCGGGGCAGAAGGCAGCGCCTCAGAGGCACCGTGAGCAGCAACAGGAAGGGAAACGCGAGTGAGGCCGCTGTGGACTTGACCACCCAGAGCAGGGCGATGCAGCTCAGCTGGATGCAGGTGAACAGGTGCATCCGCCACGTCTTCACCTGGGGAGTGGGCCTCAAGTCTCATGGCACAGCGCCTGGCCTGCTCTCCCCCCCACACATCTTTGGGGACAGAGCTCCCCGGGTCCCCAGACTTCCCCTCCACAGTCACTCTGTCCATCTCCCACCCTGGCATCCCTCGCACCCCCTCTCCATCAACCCCATCTCCCCACTGCCATGCTGCCCGGCCCTACCTTGGTCACATAGGGCTGCTCGGGATGGTGTTTTGCAGGCATGAGGATAAGCAACAGACGCTGGGACAGCTGGATACCGGACAGTGATGTGACCCCCATGTACAGGAAAATCCCAAAGAGTACGGCCAACGGGATCCGGCGCAGCACAGCCCCCATGACGATGGACAGGCCTGGAGGAGGTGACATGGACCCACCTGACCCCTCAGACAGCCCCCATGAGGATGGACGGGCCTGGTGGGGAGGGGACCGGCTGGGCCTCATCACTACACACGAGAGGAGGAGCCGGACAGAGGACCCGGAAAGGGCCAGGGTAAAAAGGCTCAGAGTGTCACGAGGCAGGCTGGGGTGACAGCGGGTGCTAGACACGATGCATCTGGTGACCCGGACGGGGCCTGAGGCAAGCCTGGGATAGAGCGCGGACTGAAGGCCACAGGGCCCAAGGAGGCAGGTCTGTGGAGCGGGCGCTGGGGCCTTGCGAGGTGGGTGCTCTCACCCACGAGGCTGGCGATGAGCACTCCAGTGACCCGCTGCTCCCGCACCTCCTGGATCTGGGGCTTGTCGCCAGGTGCAATGGCAGTGCGCATAACCGTCAAGGCGTTCACGTGAGTGACCGAGCGGACAGTGGCGGCCGTGAGCCAGGGCAACCCAAACAGCCCGCAGAGCCCACCCAGGGAGCCAATCAGCAGCAGGTCCAGGTGGAAGCCGGAGCCCTTGAGCAGCCTCCGGGCCTTCTGGCTGACGATGAGCCTGCAGGACGGGAAGCGGGGCTGAGTGGCGGGGAGGGCTGGCGGGCCGCAGGGCCAGGCATGCGCAGTGGGGAAGGGCCAGCGCGGACTGAAGGGCCCTCCCCGGGATCTGCCAGCTTCCTCTGCCAAGTTCCCAAAGTGATGTTCTCACGTCAAAGCAAATTTGGGCTAAAACCTCATACTGTAGATATTTAAGACGCCACAAAACCCAGATGCCAGATCTCACCACGTTGTGGTTTAACCAAAATGAGACACATGTGAGCATCACTGGGAGAGCATAGTGCCAGACTGTTGTGAGGACTGCCAAGTGCCACCCTGCACGTGGTGGTGGGGACAGATGGATTTCCTGTCACAGCACCAGAGGGAAACTGCCCGGGCCATGTGCCCCTCCCTTGCCACCAATCCCGCTGCCTTCCGCTCCTCCCCAGCCACCCCCGCCCAGGGTCCCCCAGCCCTCTCACGCAGTGATTTGTGTCTCCATGAAGATCAGGATGAGGACCAGCAGGGCGGGGACAGCAGCTGCTACCATCATCCAGGGCGGGAAAGGACGGGCACTGCCCAGGGGTGGGATGAACCACGTGCGCTTATGGGGGGACGTCACCGAGAGCCCTGTGGGCACCGTCAGCTTCTGCATGGCAGGAAGGAAGACAGGGTTCAGGGACACAGCCTCCCCATGCTGAGAACCCCATGTAGCAGCTGCTCCCACCAAGCTCTGTGTTCCCAGTACCAGGGCTCCAGGAAACCTGGATGTGAACAGCTTTGGGGGAAATTAGTTTTCCATCTTCCAGAGTCCCTCCAAGGATTTGGTAGAGGACAGAGAATGACAAACTTTCTCCCTGAGCCCCAGGCACACCTGTCATTTGGCCCCCAGCCCCATATCTGCTCACACATAGCCTCAGAACCCCTGGCTGGCCTCATCCGCTGAACCACTCAGCTGCCCCCAGCCCACCCACCCCAGCGTGGCCCCAGCAGGTCACCACTCCACTAAAAAAGCTGAATTCTGCCCATGGTCGTAGCCACTGTGGCAACAGGAACGTGTTGTGGCCTCCCTCCCGAGACTCTGGGGTGAAACCCCCCCGTTGGAGGGAGGTGGGGCTTGCTCACCTGTGTGTAGGTGTCTGTAATCGAGTAATCCACTAGGACCATCACCAGAATGGAAATGGGGATGCCAAAATCCCCAATGATGCGGCGAGCCTTGAGGGGCCAGTGGGGGAAAGGAGCAAAGGAAGTGAGGGTCAGGAGACTAACATGGGGACTTATTACTCCCAGCTCTCTTGGGTCTGAGCTGGAGCCAGAAATCCCTCAACCTGTCTCTCTAAGTCCCATGGGTGCCGCCCAGCTCAAGAGGGCATTCCTGGCCTGATTAAATTTCTCTGAAGTTTCTGACCGGGAAGGGCCTGCACAGATGTGCTTTAGGTCCATGGGTTGACCGGGAGAAGGGGAGAGCCCCCCCTCTGGGGGGGAGACTGGCCGTGACGGCAGGAACTCCGGGGAAACCCACGGGGGCCCTCCTCTCCTCAGCCACACACCTTGCCTCCCAGGAAGCGGCTGTTCCTGAACTTTCGCAGGAAGAAGGCAATGAGAAAGGTCCCAAGCATGAGGATGAGGGACAGCAGAGCCGTGTTGGGCTGGTTCCTCGGGCCAGGCGGCCCCTCGGTGGGGGGCACAGCACTCCCGTTCAGCTCCAGCCCAGCCTCCAATGCCCCCCCGGGGGGGTAGAATGGCAGCAATGGGTGCTCCGTGAACACCTGCGTGGGTTACAAGGTTGCCCTAGCACTCACCTGGGCAGGTAACCCTAATTTTATCACCCTGATTTCATACGGCTGTGAGGGGAACGCTGACCCCTCACACACCTGACCAGACAACAGTATCACAGGACAACGAGATACATCACACACACACGCACACGCACACACACACGCACACACACGCACGCGCTCCTCTACGAAAGGGGCCCCATAGCGCTGACAGTGCCCCACGCCATCACACACTGGTTGAACCCTGCTAGAGTTCTAACCCGTACCCTCTGGGTAGGACTCCCTGCCCGGCAGCTCTGACCTAGCCCAGGGTGTCCCGACCCCCCACACCCACACCCAGCGGAGCCCTCCTCCTCGACCGCTCTGCTCCCAGCGCTCCCTGCCACCCCCTCCCATGCTCCCCTCCCCAGGGTGCTGCCCAGCCCCCACCCATGCCCCCCCCCCAAGACCTCTCTGGACCTCCACCTTGTAGAGCTTGTGGAAGGTCTCGTAGATGAAAATAAGCGAGATGAGGAAAGCGAAGATCTCCTGGGTGAAAGGTGAGATATAGCGGACCAGGAAGCTGCCTTCAGCGGCCACCAGGGCAAGGACAAAGACCACCAGCCAGAGGCCAACCCACACCCGGCCGGTGAGGTACTCCAGGTCCTGGGCTCGGCAGAACTAGAGGCCAGGAGGGAGGCTGTGGTTACCCGCAGCAGTCGGCGCTGGACGTCGGGCCCCATGGGATGGGCCGGGGTGGGGGCGGGGGGCGAACTCTAAAGGGAGAGGAGGGGAGAGCCTGCAGGGACCCACATCACCTGGGCCGAGAAATGGGACATGAGATCCCTGGGGAGGGGCAAGGGAGGGCTGTCACCTTGAAGAAGGCTTCTTCGAAGACCAGCAACGGCCCTGAGAAGCCAACCACGAGCAGCGGCTGGGCCCCCAGCAGGGAGAAGAGGACCCCAAGCACCGCGGTAGACACAATCAGCTCGGACACGCCCATCAGCCCCTCAGTCTTCTCTCCTGGTGCAGGCAAGGGTCAGCGGGAGGGCCCTGGCCTGGCTCCTTCCGCCCAGCCCCTCCTCCTCATCTAGCCTACCTTGACCTGGGGACCCAACTAGAACAGAGCAGTCCCACAGAGCAATAGATAGGTCCTGCTCCCCAGCCCCAACCCTCCCACCTCCGTCACCACCAGCCCCACCCTCCTACCCTACCCCCTCCACCCCTCCCTGTCACAGGCTCCCCCACCCTTTACACCCCCCCGCCCCCTCTCACTTTATAGCCCCCCCTGCAAAAGTGATGCCTGGGATCCCCTGACCACAGACCTTGCAGGTGACCCTGGGTCCCCCACCCCGGCCTCCCTTCCCCCTCACCTAGCAGCCCCCCGAAGGTGATGGCGGGGCTGAGGGCAGCGAAGTAGATGAACAGTACGGCTGCCACGCACTGGGAGTGCAGGGCGTCTCGCAGGTCACTGGGGTAGTGTGGGTACCGACGCTTCACATCTCGCACAAGCCCCCCAAACACCGAGCCAGTCCGCAGCAGGGGGTCATCTTCGGGGGTCGCCTCGGAGCCCCCCAGCTCCACCGACAGCTCTGGGGGGACAAGGAGCTGCTGGAGCACAGACCACCCCCTCCTGCTGGGGGGCCCTGGGCTCAATCCTTCCCATCAGGGACCGGAAGCTGGCATCCAGGAGTCAGGGAGTCAGGACAGGCTGGCCTCACGACCTTAGGAGCTGCAGGGGGAAAGGGGGAAAACGGGCCCCAAAGGGTCTGACCTTTCCCAGGGGCCACACAGCTTCCCTGGGTGGTCATCTCCACTTTAGTCTGCTCACGCTCCCGCCGCTTCCTCAGCAGCTCCCTCTGGAAGGCGGCCACGGAGCGCAGCAGGTCACGGCCCTCCACCTCGGATGGAGGAATCACGATGCTGCCGTCCAGGAACTCACTGATGGCGCTCAGGAGGTCCTGCCGGTCGTCCGCCTGGTAGGCAGCCTCATGAAACAGCTATGGGCAGGAGAGGCAAGGGCTGAGCCACGCGGAGAGCCCCTGGGAGGGCTTCAGGGAAGAGGTGTTGGGCCATCACCAAGCCAGAGGCAGGATGGGTGTTTGGCCACATATACAGGTCCAGTCCAATCGTCAAAATATTGACTTATGTCCTCGCTAGCCAGCAATCGGCCACAGCCCTGAACCTCCGAGTGCCTTCTATTCCCCTAGGAGCTTCTAGACTTTTCCACGATGCAACAACTAAAGGGGCAACGCCGGGCATAGCAGGGGGGCCCAGAACCATCCTGACCAGAGAGTTCTCACCCGCTACAGGTCGGTCAGTTAGCGTTTCCAATACCACCCCTGGCTAGAGGACCTTCCTGTCCCAGCCAAGGAGAGGCCACAGCAAAGACCAACATATCCAGCCCTCCCTTTCCAGTCTCATGCCACGTCCAAGACTTGGGGGTCTGGGCTTTTTCTCCCCCTTCAACCACCTCCCCTTCCCACAGCTCCAGCGCAGGGCTCCCTTTTCTCCCCTCAGCCAAAACTCCCTCTACCATCACTCCAGAGTGCTGCCTCCACCCAGAAGGGCCTCCTGCGCCCCTGCATCCAGGGCCGCCAATGTAGGCAGTAAGCAAACGGGAAAAAGGAGGGCCCTGGCGGTGGGGG